TCGGGGACTGGCTGGGCATTGGTTGGCGGGTGGTGAGCAATTGCATTGTGCATCACTTGCTTTGTATGTTCCCCCTCCTTCCCCCTCCTTCCCCCTCCTTCCCCCTCCTTCCCCCTCCTTCCCCCTCTTATTGTTATTTTATTTCAGTTATTAAACTGTTTCTATCTCAACTCATGAGTTTTTTCACTTTCACTTTTCCGATTCTCTCCCCCATCCCACTGGGCGGGGGGGGGGGGGGGAGTGAGTGAGCGGCTGCGTGTTGCTCAGTTGCTGACTGAGGTTAAACCATGAGGTTAAACCACGACGGCTATGCATACAAGGGTAGAGTGCACGTGGTCATCCTTAAAAAGCTTTGGGAACTGTGTTCTCTGAATACAGTTTGTTTAGAGAGCAGCACTAAAAGTGAGTAATACTTATCAAAGCTAAAATACTGCTTAGGTAATGATACATCAGCTAGCTTTTTAATTGCTTTAAAGTATTTGATTAATGACAGTAAACTCTACTTAAGCCTCGTGTCACTAACTCTGTAAAGTAAGCACGCAAGTGTTTTCTGAATTTCACAGATGAGCAAAGTGAGTGAGGGAGGATGTGCTCAGCATGACAGCCAGAAAATCTGCACCTGTTCAGGGAGCTGGAGCTGTTCTACCTCTCGCAATCCTCACTTAATCCACACTCTCGGTTAAGAAAGGGTGTGAAAGAATTTGCTTTATGTAATTACTTGCTTAGCAAATAGAGGAGCAAAAAAAAAATTTAAAAAAAGCTTATGTATCAGAAATTAAGAGTATCTTTTCTGCTGTTAGTGTGTACCAAAAAGATCTAGTGAGCATTGCTCTTTATTTCTTGAGTCAGGCTCTCTAGAAATGTTTTCTGTTCATTATTGTCTTTTCTCACAACTTCCTATGGTAATTTAGTGAATTTTAATATCCATAAGCTAATTCTAGTAACTTTAAGCTTGGTCACATTCCTAAGTCAAAGCTTATTTTTGAAATCCACCTTCCTCAACACTGACTTTCTTGCTTAACGCCTGTGGAAGTAACCATACAGATGGTTTCTGATCTCCTAAATGTAGGTGGAGTGGAATTTTTGGTGTATACATACAATTTTGGTAGCATTTGACTTTTATGACATGGTTTCACTAAGGATAATGTTATTTCATCCACTCACAAATACAGCATGTATCTTACTCAAAGTGTTTCAATAAGCTTTTTTTTTCCTTTGTGTGACCCAAATTGGATTCAAACTTTTAAAAAGTATTTGAACAGCCTTTATTTCTCAAGAAAAAATGATTTTCTGTTATTTCTGAGCTTCCATATTTTTCCTCTCATCATTTGTAATAGAATCATAGAGTCATTTAAGTTGGAAAAGACCTTTAAGGTCATCAAGTCCAACCGTTAACCTAGCACTGCCGAGTCCACCGCTAAACCATGTTACTAAGCACCGGATCTACACGTCTTTTAAATACCTCCAGGGATGGGGACTCCACCACTTCCCTGGGCAGCCTGGTCCAATGTTTAACCCCTCTTTCAGTAAAGAAATTTTTCCTCACGTCCAATCTAAACCTCCCCTGGCGCAACTTGAGGCCATTTCCTCTCGTCCTATCACTAGTTCCTTGGGAGAAGAGACCCACACCCACCTCGCTACAACCTCCTTTCAGGTATAATGTCATATCTGCTTGTATCAACTTCTATCTGAATGCTAAACATCGTAACAAAAGGAAATGGAAAGAACTTTGGAGACTTATATCTTACTGACTGGAGTAACACTCAGAATATAAATGCATTTTCATTATGATATAAGGAGGCAATAGTTTGAAGGAGCTGAACACACACAAACTTTCACAAATAATAAAAGGGAAAGTAAAACTAAGATATTCTTTCCAGTTTCTGAACTTGATTTGTTTGAGTCTGGATGTCAAACGTTAACATTAAGGCTTAATGCAGAATTACTATGTAATATAATAAGGTCACCATTTTAATGTTTTTTCTCGTTGAACCTTTCTTGGTTTTAAATCTTGGATGTCTGCCAAAATAGCAAGGGGAACAATTTAGAATTCAAAACTTTCACTTTTATAAGACTTTATTATTAAAAATGCCTTCAAATGAGGCATCATGAATCTGAAGCAGTGGATTTTTTCATGTTTGAATAGAAGAACAAGACCTTGCTGCTAATCTGCAGCAGGTAGTATTTTAAGTGACTGTACTGTTGAGGCAATAAAAGCCACGTGAAAAAGGGCTTGGGCTGTGTGTTGTGGGGGATTCACTAGCCATGTCGGAGCTGATGGTTCTCCTGTGGCGTAACAGTGTGGGTCAAGATAATGGAAGTTTAAATGAGTGAACAGTAGAGATAAGATGAGCAAGTAGAGCCATGGGCTGGAGGGAAAATGTTTCTTATATTTTATGCTTGTGCTTTTGTAAAACGTGCGGAGATCTATCCTACTACATCAAAACTAATTAGCTAAAACATTGGGGATGGGGGACTTGTCAGCATACCACTGCTCAAGCACAGTTAGGAAGAAAACTGTTCCTTGCTCCAAGTGTTCCTCCTGTCTTCCCTCCAATACCGCTGATTTTTAAGTAGTAATAAATAGCAGTGATTATTTTGTCTAGCTGAAATCTGAGGGACAATAGTTTGATTATTTCTTGTGCCTTTTATTTGTGTCTGCTACTTAGTCAAATCTCTCTGTCAGTAGTAAAGCTGTCAGGGTGAAATGGGCATCAGAAGGTGAGTGGCAAGTATGGATTTCTTGCTTATAGAAATGACAGTTCACATTTAGGTTGTGTAGATAGAAGCAGCTCTTTGTCATCTGTAATTGCTTTTGCCCGGATGAGAAGTTCCCAGGTTCCAGAGGGCAAAAATTTTGCAACAGAAGAGCTTTGGATGTGATTAATTTGCAACATCATGTGTTGGCAGTATATAGAGCAAGAGGCCAAAAGATAAAATGATGGGAAGCCAACCTGTTCTCCCATCTGAGTTAGTTATGGACGGTGCCGGGATTAGGGGAATCTTGATTGAGTTCAATAATTAGGGCAACTTCGCTTCCCTGAATGTCATTCTAGTGCAACTGCTATATCTTGTCTTTTGAGAAAGCTTTAAAAAGAAATTTGCTTTGCCTACGTTGATGGACCTGCAACGTAGAGTTAAAAATAACAGCTTTGCAATTTAAGAACATGTACTCTTTAAATGGTTTTTGGAACCGGATCTGTTTAACCTTCTGAAATATTTGCATTTCACAAGTTGTAGTAATACAGTTTCATAAACCAGTGCCCTTTTCAAATGACTGTAACAGCAGTGACTGCGTAAAACTGCTTTTAATATTAAGGGAGAAACATGAGCAAGAAGCTTGTATAGAAAAAATCCACTCATTTTTATTAGCTTCTTGCCATCTTCCTTTCCTAAATTAAAATGACTAGTGTGAGATTATTTTTCCTGTGTATGTTTAGTCTCCTTCTCATATAGTGCATGGACATACACAGAAGACTGGACCAGCTGGTGCCAGTAAAGTAAATAACTTTCATGAGATCAGTAGTATCTGAAGTGTTAACTTTTGACTCATAACTGGGGGAAGAGGCATTGTCCGGAAGGTCTGCTGACCGAGATACGTGTATGGTGTGAAAAAATAGTTTCAGTTCTACTCGCTCAATTTATGAGGGTAGGGATTTTTAAATACCTGTGTCTTCCACATCTCATGAATTATTTGGCTTTGTGAAGTGGGAGTTTAAACTGGGGCTTTGTATACTGTAACAAAACAATTGAAATTTTCAAAATTCTTCTGTTACACTTCACAGAAGGTTTGGGGTTTTTTTTTCAGTGTCAGGATTTTGATTTATATGTCACTTACCTTAAATATCATTTTAGATCTATGTCTTGGCCATCACATAAATACAGTTTTCATAACTCTTTTTTTTTTAACCTAGACATAACATGCTGTGTAGTTTTTTTAGCCAGCTATGATGCCAGTGTGTTTTAAAATATGTAACTGTTTTTATTGTTTCCTTCAGGAAAAAGCAGATAATTTTATTTCTGCTTCAATTTCAAGATGGGCTTTTCATGTTGTGGCATATAGTTTTCTTAAGAAATGAAGTAGCAAGCTTAAGTCGACCATTACTTCCAATTAACTAATAAAAATGTTGTATTTTTCTTACAGGAGGTGATCAGATGGAGAGAAAAGGTCAAGTTTTGATACTTTTAGTGGAACAAGCTCTCAGTTTCCAGGACTACAAAGCAGCTAGTATGCATTGCCAGGAGCTCATGGCCACAGGTGAAGTGATGTGGGGTGATGGTAGTGGAAATCTTGAGTTCTGACTCTTGACCTACTGTGAAGTGTGGTAGTTCAGATTGGTCCATTTCATTCAAAAATCAGTTACGTTTTGTTTGTGGAAGTCAACTGACATCAGCATGTCAAATGTAGAAGGCAGGTGGTATGAAATATGACAAATCCTGTTGTCATGGAGGAGGAACTCCATGTAGTGATGGAACTACAAAATACTTAAGCCACAGTGACTTCTGGAGCAATGTTGGTCTTTTTCTAAAATCAGTTTAGTTCATTGAGATCTCTCAACTGAAATTGCATACTGTCATTCAGATAATCCTTTATTTTTTGCTCAAAATATATCCCAGTAGGGATTCCATTTTAATTGTCTCCTCAGTGCTTTTTTTTCTTGTAAGAAAGCAAAGGAAAAAGTTTTAATTTGTCATGTAGTTTAAATCCCATTTACTATTTTTTTGTATTATATTTTTGTTAATGAATGTTCATGTGTCACACTATTGAGATTAAACATGTATGTTGGTCCATACACATTCATTAGCATTTATACATAGTCATGTTTCTTCTCTGTAAAATTCTTTATGGAAACATATTTCAATATTTTACTTAAGATGTGTTTCAGTTTGCAGAAGTTCATTCACATAGTGTAAAATCTTTCTCTGCAATTGCTATCCCACTTGTTCATCTCTGGAAATAATTGTAAGTGTCGTGGTTTAACCCCAGCCGGCAGCTGAGCACCACACAGCCGTTCGCTCGCTCTCCCACCGCCCGGTGGAATGGGGGAGAGAATCGAAAGAGTAAAAGTGAGAAAACTTGTGGGTTGAGATAAGAACAGTTTAATAATTGAAATAATAGAATATACAAAGCGAGTGATGCACAATGCAATTGCTCATCACCCGCTGACCGATGCCCAGCCAGTCCCCGAGCAGCAGCCCCCCCCGGCCAGCTTTCCCCAGTTTATGTACTGAGCGTGACGTCCCATGGTATGGAATGTCCCTTTGGCCAGTTGGGGTCAGCTGTCCTGGCTGTGCCCCCTCCCAGATTCTTGTGCACCTCCAGCCTTCTCAGTCGGTAGAGCATGGGAAGCTGAAAAGTCCTGGACTAGTGTAAGCACTACCTAGCAACAACTAAAACATCGGTGTGTTATCAACTTTGTTCTCATCCTAAATCCAAAACACAGCACTGTACCAGCTACTAGGAAGGAAATTAACTCTATCCCAGCCGAAACCAGGAGAGTAAGAAATAAAATTTTGTTAGCCAGCTGGGTAGGGGTCTTGTATTTAGTTTTCAACCTGAAAACAGTATTATAGGCTGTAGTAATAAGTGCTGACTTTTGTTTCTTACTAAGTCATGTGCACATTATAAAAGACAGTTCAGGTATCTTTAAACTGGACCTATACTTTTGGAGAGACATTTGCCAGGTCCATTTGGAGATATCCAAACTTAATTTCTTGGCTTTCTGACAAAAGATGTGTGTGATGTATAGGAGCTGACAAGGCAAGGTGACAGCCAGATTGCTGTAATCTCCTCCTAATGCAGGAAAAATGGATCCTAGCTGTTTGTGATATTTAGTTTGCAAGACAAAAACATGCAAATGTGTTTGCCATATGTAATGCACAAATACATGGAATGGAGATGCACACAGCAAATACTGTATGTGATAAGATAGTTACCGAACTATTAGACATGTAACCTTAGGGAGCTTTTCTGTATGCCTCTGGGAACCACAATTTCTCATTCTTTCTATACTGTACCCCTTTCAAACAGGTAAAAATATGTGACTACAGCTAGTAGGAATGTGCTGGTCTTTTTAGATGTCTGCCTTTCTAAGATGTCTATCAAAACACTCAAAATATTTGTGGTATTTATGTCATTTGTATATGTGAGGGTATGAGTGGAGGTAAATGACATGTGTCAAGGTACTAAGGAAGATGGGATTTGTTTCTTTGGCTCTTTTTTCTGCCTTGAGATTGAAGTGGGAAAGTCTGAGATGAATTGACGTTCTTTTAATTATATCAAGTGATATTTTTTTTTTCCTGAGCCATTCCAGTGAGGTGTTTAATACCATGCTCTGAAGTAAATTATGATTTTCTTACTGCAATATGTAAAAATACAGTGTGTAGGCTTACAGATGCCTATTGTACTGATATCTATAACATGATAATAATGAATCTTCTATGCATTTGGTCAGTCTAAAGTTGAGTTACATCTCTGTTTTATGGAGCCTTTATGGTTCCTTTCTCAGGGGTAAGTGTTGGCAGGAATGCCATATGCTCCTCTATCTCATTGAGTAAGAATTATGCAGCATCCTTCTATCACTTCTGAAGCTTACCAACCTCAGAAGTACATTTTGTGTTCCCTTGTAGGTTATTCTAAAAGCTGGGAAGTATGCAGTCAGCTTGGGCAATCGGAAGGCTACCATGATTTGGGTATGCGTCAGGAACTCATGGCTTTTGCTCTGACACACTGTCCCCCAAGTGCCATAGAGGCGTTGCTGGGAGTGAGCAGTTCGTTGCAAACCCAGGTAGGTGTTTCTGAAACTTCTTTCATGCAAATTCAGTGCTTACCAAAGTAAAGGGGACTTGTGCTCATTTTTAAGTTTGTTTCTTTAAGTTCCACCTCCCAACAAGTTTATATTTGTTCTACTGTATTTTTCTACTTTCACTGTTATATTTCAACAAATGAACTCTTTTTATAAGCATTTTTATATGATGAGTTGGCTTTTCAAGTAGGAGTGCAATTGTGTTCTCGATCTTCAGTACTTTTAATTTCTTCATTTATTGCCTGATTTAAATATATTTGCAAATGCAGTTAAATATTTTTTTCAATGTTTTCCAGGTTCTGTCGCCTGTTTACACCTTGTAATGCAACTTCACTAAATGCCCACATAAATATCTGTTAAATGTTTATTCTTACATTTTTATGATCTCTACCCAGTATACAATGAAATTATTTTCTTAATGATTGCAACCATGCAATGGTTTTAACAACTACAACAGGCTTTATGTCTGAGCCATCTTTATTAACTGTGCAGTGACTGACTTCTTAATAGAATCAGATCTTAGGTGTTCAGCTGATCATATTATATATGTGAGAACAAGTAATTATGGCATTTAAGTACAAGTTATAGCAAGATGGCATAGCAAACCTTTTGAACAGTTTTATTTGAAACGGCAGTGCAGTAATTTAGGTTGTCAAAACGTTCAATTTCTGTTCAGTGTAATTGTGGCTTGGCCTACGTACTATTACTTGTTTAAGAGTTCATATTTGTCGTAGTTGTCTAAGAGTTCACAATGTTCATAGATTTATCTTTGTGTAAAAAAAAAAAACCCAACATCTTAGAGGGCTTGCATTCTGTGTCTGAAGAATGGGGGAGAAGGGAGCGATAGCTACAGTACATGTGCAGTCTAATTAAGGCCGCTGCAAGTGCGTAGCCTTTTTCTTTACAAAATTGCTTGTATAGCAATGTCTATGAGAAATACAGGCAACATATGAAGGCAGTCTGTGCTGCTTCAGTAACAGGATAAAATGCTACAAAAGACTTGAAATAAAGTCTAGCTCCTGCAAGCTATAGTATACAATAATTATTTTCTTAATGATTGCAACCATGCAATGGTTTTAACAACTACAACAGGCTTTATGTCTGAGCCATCTTTATTAACTGTGCAGTGACTGACTTCTTAATAGAATCAGATCTTAGGTGTTCAGCTGATCATATTATATATGTGAGAACAAGTAATTATGGCATTTAAGTACAAGTTATAGCAAGATGGCATAGCAAACCTTTTGAACAGTTTTATTTGAAACGGCAGTGCAGTAATTTAGGTTGTCAAAACGTTCAATTTCTGTTCAGTGTAATTGTGGCTTGGCCTACGTACTATTACTTGTTTAAGAGTTCATATTTGTCGTAGTTGTCTAAGAGTTCACAATGTTCATAGATTTATCTTTGTGTAAAAAAAAAAAACCCAACATCTTAGAGGGCTTGCATTCTGTGTCTGAAGAATGGGGGAGAAGGGAGCGATAGCTACAGTACATGTGCAGTCTAATTAAGGCCGCTGCAAGTGCGTAGCCTTTTTCTTTACAAAATTGCTTGTATAGCAATGTCTATGAGAAATACAGGCAACATATGAAGGCAGTCTGTGCTGCTTCAGTAACAGGATAAAATGCTACAAAAGACTTGAAATAAAGTCTAGCTCCTGCAAGCTATTTACTATCTTTTTTTTCATCATGAAAGCACTCAAATTTGAGAGAGGTAGGTACAATTACGAGCTTAAACGTAAGTGGAATCTTTGCAGAATTGATACCTGTACAGTATAGAAATAAAAGCTTGTTTCCCCCGTTATGTACCTATACCTGGAATTAGAATTTGAAGTCAAACAAACTTTTGGCACTGTATAAGCCAGAATTTGTTAGACTTGCTGTCAGTTCACTGCCTCTGTATCACTGTCTCATTCCTTCTAAAGGCTTCATGTCCTGTTAGTTGTAGTGCAGTGCAGCTGTTCAGTCACTGGTTATTACCCTCTCGCATCCCACTTCTCCAAGGGAAATGATTCTCTGTCTTCTCCATTCACAGAACTTGAGACTGAATTTGTTGCTAAGGTTTCTTTGTTAGTGCAGTATTATTTGTAGCAAAAGTGCAGTGATGATGAATTTGGTATTTGCCCCAGGAAGGCAAAACCAAGTCATGATTTCTGTCAAAGCACTTTTAATCAGATTCTTCTGCAATTACTTCCTCCATAAACCAAGCATAAGCTTTTCAGCTCTGTTCATTAATGGTCCTACATGCTCGGTCCAAACACTCTGTCTTTGTATGTAGATAGAGAGATATATATGCAAAAAATCTTTATCAGAAGGTCCTGCTGGCTAGATGATATATGTAAGGGTTTTTTGTGGACCTTCATCAGTTCTATGGCCTGTGGAAATTCTGCTCACAAAACTATTATCTTGTGTAATACTTGCCTCTGTGGAGTTGCGCAACACCTCAGAGGCACAGTTCCGATAATGGGTGTTTTTCATAGGAGTTCTTTAGCCTATGTAATACAGCAGGGTGCGTATAATT